GTTTGAACAGTTGGTAAAGAAAAGGTTTACTAAAGGCTAACACTTTTGGTTCTCCTGTTAGGGATCAACTAATTACACCCGTGACAAATTATCCTTTCAGGGCTTATCTGTAAATCTGGCTGTACTCCACCAACTTGTTACTCAAGCCTATTTTATAGGACCCCCTGTGGCTTGTACTGTAAGTTGCTCCGTCTACTCACGGTTTCTATTTTGGCTCATTTGAAATTAACGGAGTCTTTTAAAAGTACAACCTGGAACGCTCTTGGACGTAAATGACACTTTGTGCTAATCCCACCTGCTACTGCTTGTTCTTCTCCCGATTCCGGGCGGCTTTGAAGAGCTCTTCGCACACCAGGCCTCTGTTTGCACCGTACCCGGCCATCGAACAGCTCTTCCCTGAGCCGGTCTGACCGTACGCCAGCAGAGTGGCGTTATAGCCTTGCCAGGCGTCCTCCAGCACTCCTTGACCGAGATCACGGAAGGCCTCTCTCTAAAAAACGGTCGAGTGCATCCTCCTCCTAGATGAGCAAGCAAGTGCAGACACAAGCACTGCCGTCCGGTAGGAGCACCCCCGCTAGTAGTTTAAATTAGGAATCAAGATTTGCAAACAGACTTGAAAGTAAAACTGAGTTCCAGGATGACAGAAACGCCGATAAAATCTAGCTAATGCTCCAAGCCCGTAAACTTGATAAATGCCAGGCGTTCGCATTACACGCCCATGAAGGCTAACAGCGGCAGATAAACAAAGTGACCAGTCTGCAACGGCGCATTGGCTAAAACTGCTTTTAGTTGCTGCTTTGACTAACATCGGAGCCGGCCTGCATAAGTGGTGGATCCTGCCGGGATGAGCATACCATTCTCGTCCTTTAGGAAGCTGCTATGAGACCGGTAGGCTAGATCAAAAGTAAAGGTTTCCCTCTGCCCTGGCTTCCCAGGCTCATATACGCTTGTGCTGTTGGAGCTCATAGAAATCCCACACCTGCTTCCTACGTCCTTCTCTCTCTGGGTGTTACAAGTACAATTGTCGTATCAAAACACAAGCAATCAGTCATTCACTAATAATTCATGGTTTAGTCTGGATTTAAACCATGTTCAACAGCAGTGCACACCACACCGGTGACCGCTGTGGGATAAGCCCGCTCTTGAACCATGCCAGCTGAGAGACAGCCAAGGAGTAAGCGACCTGAACGAACGGACACATCAGTAACCGTAACTCGCATTTGTCCCCCCTACCTCGCATGTTGGTCATCCGCAGAGCAGAGTGCATGGGAAAAAGCATTTTATGTTAGGAACAGCTTTAATTCAAGAGGAACCACAGTACATTTATCTCCAAGCATATCAAAGAGACTCGTTATCTGGACTCCTTTGGTGAAAAAAGCATTCCTGGAATGGAAACCCCGAAGTTTTGCCCAGGAGACAAAAGTACAAACAAAAGGAGAAACAAATGCTACCTTACTCCTTGAAATTCTATCATTTCCAAGTATTTTCAGGTTGGCCTAGACTAACGGGTCACAAACATTGCCTAACAACTCACGAGAAACTATGGATTGGCTTCTGCCTGTAGCTTGTTTTTCCCCCACCAGAAGTCAACAATTTTCTGAGCTATTCACTACATTTCTGTACAATGAGTATTTAAAAAAAAAAATTGCTAGAAATTCCCCGCCCCCTTTGACCAAATATATTTTGTAGCTCAAGTACAAAATGTTCAGAGTAAATTACGAACCTGACTGAAAGGTCTCACTCGAGCTGCCACTTTCACGCTGTCAACATTTGGCTTTTTTTTAAGCTTTCATTCAGCCATGAATTCTCCCAAGGGGAAAAGTATCCAAGTGCATGCAACTGCTTCTCTAGAACGACCTGTTCCGCCCCACCAGGAATCAACAACGAAGCTATTTATGATTAGTTACATAGGAACTGATGAAATTGCAGCAAGTACATTTATTGTGCTGACAAGCCTGAGAGTAGTCTTCCATGAGTTCTGATGGGGGATTGAACTACTTAGTAGCTGCGGACTTATTTGCACACTGGGCACGTACAAATAGCAAGGCAAATGAACTCAGTCAACGCGAATCAGTTAATGCTTTAAGCACCAAGTGGCTATCAAAAGTACAATGGATTTGCTTTAATTCTGCTTCGCGTTACAACCTGCAATGACTACTTTCATCAGCCTTCGCTTCTAAACAGTTGAAGAAAACAAGTCATATGAATATTTGTGCTAACTCTCTGAGGTAACTCCGGGAACCATTTCTACTGAAACATTTCTTTCCTTGACAAATTCCCTTCTCACAACAGCCCTTAATCTTATTAATATTCACTCTCCCTTTCACAGTAGTCTCTCCTACTATGTGTTTCCTGGAAATAAAATCTGCCATTACACCTACCTAGTTTTATTCTGGCTGAAAGGTCTACTAGCCCAAGGCAGCCAGCCTTCCAGTGGAATTTTCTCGGGGTTACGGCCCCAAAGGCACAGATGCACAGTTTAGCTTCAGCTTTTAGCCATCTGACATTAGGCCAAAGCAGATGCATCCAAACACTCTTGAGAAATCCCAGCTCTTCATTAGGGGGAGAAAAACAAACAACCAACCCTCAAGCCAGTACATTTCCTATAGGAAAACTTCAGAATTGCTGTGTTTAGTGACAAACTGTACTGAGGAGCTCCTGGGAAATGCTCATCTTGCTCGCAAGAGAATTGGCGCTCTGTGTCCCTAGAGCTTTCTGCAGGCATCCACCACAGCGATGCATCACCCCTTCTTCTGCCACAGGCCCCTCGTGCCCTTCTCTGGCACCGTGAAGATCATCTCTCGCCGATTCATCCTCACTGTTCAGATTCATCCTCGCTGTTAAGAAGCACTGCTCACGCACTGGCTCTCTCGCACCTTTGTTGAAATGATCTTTCTGCTCTATCCTTCACATACTTGCGGCAAGCCTACACAAAGAATCCCTCAAGGAAAATCTGTTTTCTCCACTGCATTGTCGACCCATCCTTGAGTTGCCATCTTGACGCTGTTAGCTAGCTTCTTTCGCTTTTCTCAGGCTCTAAAGAAAAATTCCCAGTGCCTCTTTTTGCTTCCATTTCCGTCTATGTCCTTTAGCTTTCCGAAATCCCACTCCTTCTTACTCGTTACGCTTACACGCTCGTTCTTTTTAAACTGCTCCCTGGGGAAACTGGTCAGCACCCAAGAACTGTGCACTGAATCTAAGTCACTGAAGAACAATGGAGGAAAACGTTTTAACACAGAATTGGATTAAAACACCTTTAAAGTAAACAATTACTAGACCATTACAAACCTTTAGGAAGTTATTAAATCTCATGCCAATTTTCTTGTTACTACTCTTGCTTTCTTTTTTCCTCCAAAGCACTGCCAAATGAGGATAACTCAGCTGAGCTGGTTATAAAACAGAGAGGCTAAAATTACTACAAATGATCAATAAAATCAGCTAGTGTCATGTTTTCGCTTGTTGTAGTTGATTTTCATACAAAAAATATACTATAAGTACAAATGACAGAAACGTTAAAATCCTATTAAGCAATCTTCACTAGCATTTCATCAGTCAGTTCTATTCGATCAGCAATTGGAGCATTTTATAAATACTTTTGTGCACTCCACAAAACGTCTGCTCAGATTTGACGCCCATTTTCTCTTCCGGTTTTGAAAGTTTCATCTTTTACCGCATTTTCTGAGCTAGTCGCTACATTTCTGTACAATGTGAATTTAAAACAATATTGCTAGAACTTCCCCGCCCCCTTTGACCAAATTTATATCGTAGCTCAAGTACAAAATGTTCAGAGTAAATAATTACGAACCTGACTGAAAGGTCTCACTCGAGCTGCCACTTTCACACTGTCAACATTTGGCTTTTTTTTAAGCTTTCATTCAGCCATGAATACTCCCAAGGGGAAAAGTATCCAAGTGCATGCAACTGCTTCTCTAGAACGACCTGTTCCGAGACAGAAAAATCACGGCCCCAGAAGAAACTTCTGGTACAAGCTTAGTCGGTTATTACCACATTCATCCGTTATGTACAAGCACGTATTAGTTAACCAATAAATTATTTCTTAGAGTAACTGGAGTGGTTTTTACTAACTGCAAAGTTTAATGTCAGGTTCCACCATTCCGTAGTCTGCAAAGTTGCATCCGTATATAAATTAACATACATAAAAATAATCCATTGTCAAAAAGACTGCACATCAAAATAGTACTTCCATGTCTGCTTTTAAAAGAATAGGGTTTTTGGTTTATTTTTACAAATTGAAGCTTTATAGGGACATTTGCTCCATAACCCAAGATTATTAATGAAATAGTGACTCAAAAATATGGTTTGTAACTAAGGATTCTGTACATTTTTGCACCTTTTTCAGACTATTATGTTAGCTTTACCATCAGGTTTTCAGTGCTGTGATATGCAGGCTTCAAATACTGCAAAATGTGTTTACAGACAATAATTACTTCAATTACAGTAGCATTCCTAGTAACCTTACAAAAATAATTTTGGCTCAAATTTCAAAGTATGCGGGTAATATCCCTTTCAATGTGAGATGCTATTGCAACCATCACACCCGCTATACAGTTAATTTGTTGCTGACAACAAGCGGCAAAAAATAGCAAAACATCTGAGGTGTGATCTAGTTTTATGAACAAAAAAGCAGCTTTGCCAAAGTTTAAGACAAAACCAAAAAAATATTGCACAGCTTAAAACACAGTTGTTTACCTTCTGACTTCAACACAGTACAACTTAACGGTGAATGTAAGGAATTACCAGTTTGTACTGTGAGCCCAATCTTTTGTGCCAGAAGGCCAAACATCCTGTATTACATCTCAACTAGCATGTTTTAAATGTTTACTTGGTATAGGAGTTCCAAGCAAACTTTTAAAAAGCTTAAAAAGCTTTCGGCCTCACTTGTCAAGGTCAGCAACTCTTGCCAACCAACATGAAAATTTCTGAGCGATACAGACCATTCAACCCACTAATTCCCTCAAAAAGCTATCAGACAGTAAGCATATTGTGAAGTAGACATTTTTATTTCACATTCCTAAAATAAGCTGTATTTACATATTATATAAAGGTATGAAGTCTTAATATAAAATAGAAAACTGCATTGACTGAAGAAACCGCACTCCATATGGAGTTACTTCTTGAAGACCATTAGTTTATGAAATTTTACAATAATTTATATAAATTATCTCTTCCAAATTAGATGATTTTTTTTTTTCTTTTTACTAATCCAGACAATTTTGATGACTTCACAAACAGCGGTGTACGTTCTAAACTTAAAAAAGAGTTACAGCATCTTCCGGCGCACAACTGGCTTTGGAAAATTAGACAGTCTTTTTTTGTTCTTTCGTAGAGTCTTCTCTGCCACGTCTGCGGTTTCTTTCTGTTTTTTTTTTGGTCCATCCACTGGACTTCCAAAAGGAGAGATGAATTTTATTTCCACTGGTGGAGGTGACCAAGAACCTTCTTGTCTTGGGGTTCTGACAAGAGAGAGAAGTATCAAATGGATTTTTTATTACCAGCAGCATTTACTAGAGGAAAAAGAAACCGTGGAATTACAAAATCAATGGCAAAGCATTATTTATGGGCTTCTTTGTAGACAGGATCACGCAGAAAAGGTAGATAAATAAGCTTCCTTTTGCCTTCATTCCTTACCAGACTGTCCCAGGCATTCTCGGTCACTGCTCATAGGAGCTTTTAGAGCCCCCCACCCCAGCTCTTCAGAGGCAAATGTCTTCAGACAGCTTTCCAGAAGGAACCAGAAAACACGTCCAGAAACAAGAAGTTCTCTTTACTCATTGCCTGACCCCCTCCTGCCTTGCACGCGGAACTGAAGACCACAAGAGTGTGGTTTCATAAGGTGGAACAAGACGATATAAAAAAAGCACGCCATCATCGCAAAGAGCAGCATCCACTTGCCCTTTCCTATCCCCTCCCTCTTCCGTTTCCATTAGAAAGCTAAACCATTAAGTGGGGAGAAGGGGGCCTATTAGACCAGCAAGCTGGGCAGGCTTGTAAAGTCAGAGCAGAACCGCACGGCCAAGTGAGGAAGAGGAAGGTAGGTGGCTAACAGCTCAACCACTTCCACAATAAAGGAACACAAGGAGGTATTCAAGAAGAATTTCATACTTGCTTGCTTGCTTCATTTCTGACTTTGCAGTTCTACCTCTCTTCAATTTGGGCTTTCCCACAGGCTCTGTGGATTTGGTATCCTCTTCCTCTTTAGCTGGAAGCTCCTAGGTTAAGGAAACCAAAACGTTACTCATGCACAACTTCTGACACTTCTACAGAACACAAAGGAATGTTTCTTTCATGAAGAAGTCCTGACAAAGTTATTTCCAAAAGCATTACAATTTCCCTCAAAAAACAAACCTTCCACCTCAAGTTACTGGACCATCCTAACAGTTCAAACTCCGAAATGAACAGATAACACGCCCAGTAAGTTTAAAGAAAGCCACTGTGCCTTTTGTTAAAGGCAAAGCGATACTTATTAATTCTTGACTTACATAGACTCAAAACTGATTTCCGTAGCTAGTTGTCATGAAGGGAAAAAAAAAATCAATTGTTTAGCCGATTAATTTAAAGCTCTCTTTTTAGACATACTTTCAAGGAAAAAAGGAAGGCATTACAAAGTATGATTTGAAAAAGCAGTATGGAGCAAAAATCAAGAACACGAGACTAGTAACTCGAGTTTTTACTTACTGGTTGTGTCACAATTCGGGAAATGCTAGATACATTTTTCATCCTTGATCGCAAAAGAGGCGGTGAAAAGACGAATTGAGAAGACATGTCCGGGTCTGAATCCTTAAGCTGCACAGGACGGTCTGCTTTTCCAGCTAAAATGACAATGTATTGTTAACATGCACGTACGTTATACATAAAAGACAGTCATGTTAAATGACAGCTGATAATCAGGAGCACAATAGCTTCCTGCAATAAAAGCTCCAACCAGGTTTATAAGCCCTCGGTGTGGAGCTATTTTTGCCCTAGTAACTGCCCCTTGGGACCCATTCTTTTATAGTAAATTGTGAAACAAAAATAAGCCAGTGCAGTGGTTTTACCTGCACTTACACAATCAAAGATATTACACTCAAGAGGCATCAACTGGCCTTACAAATCTCAAAAAAAATTATCACGTAGTCTAATGAAAAGAACCCTATGGGCAGTAACTTCACTCACAAAGTATATGCCCACAAAAAACAATCCATAATTAAACAGCTGTATAGTTCGTTGCAAGATGCAGCTCATTTGAAGTTCAAAACTGAATTTGGAAGCACGCCTCCTTTATTTCTCCAGCGGGGGGAGGAGATGGCAATCACGTCTTAACGGATAACCCTCCGGTTTCCCAAATTGACAGAAATTATGCTCGTGACAAAAATTCAGATTAAATTTCATTTCACTCTACTCAGACCAGCCTCCACATCTCTTTCCACCACTCGTCAGCCAGTCGTGCAGAGTCCAGAAAACAGATGAATCACCTCCTTCCAAATTTTTTATTTTGCGTGCTTACATTCTTTACAATACTTAAAGCCATCCTTGCATCCACCTGTTTTACGCAGTTTACAAGGCAGCAACGTGCCCTATTTTGTGCACAAACACAATGCACCTACCTTTACATCTCTTTGTCAGCTTTGTGAGAGGAGGAGAGAAAAGGAAGGACTCCTTTTCCTCAACAGACACTTTCTGATGCGTGGCAGTTTTGCGGGATCTGGTTCTTGTCATACGATCCCTTAAAGTTCTTGATGTTTCCTCATGTCCTGATGGGTTTATGCCTTCAAGCAGCAAAGGACTGCCACCAGGTCCCTGGGGGAAGGCCTCCTCCCCTGTGCTCTCTGCCAATATTGAGCGTCTCTTTCTGCCCCGACGCCCTGTCCTTACTGTAGTCCCGGGCGTGGCCGATTCCTCATTTGGCTGTGCAGGTGTTTGCTCACGAGTATCCGTTTCTTCTGCTTTAGCACGTGCAACTCTTCTCGCTCTTCTCCTAGGAGTATCAAGGATTTCCACTTTCCCCCCTGAACGTACGCCCTCCTGAGTAGAGAGAGATTCTGTGTCTGCCAAGAGATTGCGTGCCCCCTTCCTAGCACTTCTTCTAGGAGTGAGAGCAAGTTTGAATTCTGTTTGAGGAAGCGAGGGTTTAGACAAATCAAGGTCAGAATTTTCTGAAACTTCGGATGAACTCCTCTTTCTTCTTCTGCCCCTTTTAGTTGGCACGGGTACAAGGACTTGGTCACTAGGCTGCACCTCTGGATCCTTGACAGTATTTTCAGTCAATTGTAAATTAATGCTTTTCAGTTTTCTTGCACTTCTGCTGGGACTGACCGCCGGTTTTATCTTATGAGCAGTGTCTGTCTGGCCACTTTCTTCATCTCCTGCTGAACTTTTCCCTCCTCTAGTCCTTTTGGAAGTAGCAGAAGCAATAACGCTACCTTCCGCAAGACAAGTTTCCTCATTAGCCTCTTCCAAGAGCTCAGACGCAGCTTCCTTTGCTCTCCTTAATCCTCTTCTTGGAGTAACAGCTATGGACTGCGTCCTGACGGACAACGTTTGTCCATCAGAATGGCTGCTTTCTACTTTTTCTAAACTAGTCGGTTTAGGCTTCCTACCTCTCCTAGGAGTAACAGGGATCACAGGTACTTGCTCCCCGTGAGCATTTTCTTCCGTTTGAAGACTAGAAGTCTCTGATGCTTCTTTTGTTCGCCTGGTACTTCTCCTAGGAGACAGTCCAAACAGAACTGGTTCGTCTCTCTTCAGCAGTTGCTGATCACTTGCCGATGCAATACTTAGACTTCTACTCAGTTGTCCCCTTGTGCGTGTCCTAGGAGTGATGACATACTCGACTTGATGGATGCTGGTGTCATCTTCCACTCCTTCTGGTACAGTTGGTAGGGGAGCTTTTGCCTTCTGGAATCTCGTTACCTTTTTACCTATGGTTTCATGAATAGACTGTTCTACAACTTCAGATGTAAATTCTTTACTCCTTGTGTCTTTGATTACATCCAGCAAGTTCTCAGCAATAGCTGTCTTAATGGGTTCAGGCACATATGGGAGCGACTCTGCAATATTTTGAGATGCCTGATCGCTAGTTACAGTGGACACCGAGTTTGTCACATGGTCTTGGTTTTCAGAATTTCCTAAACTGTTCACGGGCTTTTCCTCTGCTGTCGTACCAGCCGGTCGAGAACCATCCACTGACGTAGGGCCTCCCATCTCCCCTTCACCTTCTTCTCCTTCCAAGACTAAAGTAAAATTACTCTGAGATACAAAAAGCTCTCCATCTCCCTCAGCTGCATCACATTCACTATCCTTATTATCAGGCAAATCACATGCAAACTGTTGCTCTATAGTAGCATAGCTGTATTGAAGACTGCCTGATGGAAGCAGTTCACTATATGGTGATCTTTCAGGGGCTTCTTCCCAGGTTTGTGCCTTAACCGCACTATCTTCAAGAACCTAGAGTTAAAAAACGGCTGTTAATGCACTATTGATGACCAAACAGACTAACTTCCAGCTGAGCTAGATGAGGCTGAGGACAGCAAAATGCTGCTTTTCCTTTCAGATCACCACTGACTGTAAAGTTAGAAACATCCAGCGCACTCTCTACTGGAGAGAAAAGTTTATGCGTTTAAGGGATGGAGAACAGAGCATTCAGTCTCTGCAATCACGTGCTCCATTTCTGATATTTCTGTTCATGCCTAACGATTTGCCACCACCCGTGAACAAAGTGAGCAGTTTTACAGTGCAAGCTGTATACACAACTGGCAGTAGTCATCCCATTGCAATACGTTCGGGACTGACTACGAATCCACACAGAGTGACCGACTCTGCATCTAACAGGGTAAGATACAATCATTTAAGATACAAAGTTTGAAGTTTCAGTCGCGATAGCTGTGACTGCAATGCTTTGTCAAACTGGTCAGGTATCGCATCCCACAACTCAACCCTGCGCGCTAAGGAATCACTGGGATTGCCTGAGACAACACATATATTCGAAATACCTCCACCTCGTGTTTTGTAGTTCCCTGTACTGAGCAATTATTCTTTCCTTCTAGATCATGGAATGCTTTGGGATGGGAGGGACCTTTAAAGGTCATCTAGTCCAATCCCCCTGCAATCGGCAGGGACATCTTCAACCAGATCAGAGTGCTCAGAGCCCCATCCAGCCTGCCCTTGAACGTTTCCAAGGATGGGGCATCCACCACCTCTCTGGGCAACCCGTTCCAGTGTTTCACCACCCTCATCGTGAAACAGTTTTTCCTTGTCCTTAGTCTAAATCTACCCTCCTGTAGTTTAAAACCATTACCCCTTGCCCTGCCGCAGCAGGCCTTGCTAAAAAGACTATCCCCATCTTTCTTGTAGGCCCCCTTTAAGTATTGAAAGGCTGCAATAAGGCCTCCCCACAGCCTTCTCTCCTCCAGGCTGAACAAGCCCAGCTCTTTCAGCCTTTCCTCAGAGCAGAGGGGCTCCATCCCTCTGATCATTTTTGTGGCCCTCCTCTGGACCCGCTCCAACAGGTCCATGTCCTTCCTCTGCTGAGGACCCCAGAGCTGGACGCAGCACGCCAGGTGGAAGCTCACCAGAGCAGAGTAGAGGGGCAGAATCACCTCCCTCGACCTGCTGGCCACGCTTCTTTTGATGCAGCCCAGGGCACGGTTGGCTTTCCGGGCTGCGAGAGCACATTGCCGGCTCACGTCCAGCTTTTCATCTCCCAGTACCCCCAAGTCCTTCTCCTCAGGGCTGCTCTCAATGAGCAATGATCCACATGAGATACTCAAGCTTTTATGCTGAGAACAAAAGTAGCATCTGTTACATATTTCGAGTGATGGCTCAGATGGTCAAGATCACTTAATCCATGTGTAAAGACCTTTGCCCAGCCCTCTACGTTACAGCGCTAGCCAACGATGGCAGAAGGAAGAAGCCATTCAACAGGAGTCGCCACAGAATCTGCTTATTTTCTTGCCTCCTGCCTTGTCAAAAGTTGCTAAAGCATCATTGTATAGCAACGTGCCCTGCTTCAAAACTAAATTCAGGACAGACTAGTCTGCATAAACTTTCCTTTTATGCTTACGAGTCTACGACCAAGAAAGCAGTAAGTAGTTTGTCCTGAATTCAGTGAAGGCAGACAAGCCCAAACCAGATGTTTCCGTATAAGTCAGTAAGAACCAGCTATAACAAAAGCAGAAAAGCCTTCACTGTGCTGCTACGTGAACGACTGCAGAAGCTTTGAGACCTTTGTCTCCTGCACCTGCTCCCTTCTTCCCATCACAAATTTGCCCTTTGCTCCCATAAGTGCTTTATGTATCGCCAAGTCTATAATCATCTTCTCTACAAGCATTGTCCTAAATCCCAAAGCTGAGACAAGCTGCAGAAGTCACTGAAATTTCATCTGAAATCTGGGACACTGAAAAGCATTTTCTGTTACTTAAGACCAACCTATTTGTGGTACGCCTACCTTTCAGTTTGTGTTTAACTATTCTTAATTCCTGTGAGGACAATCCTACAAGAGATTGACAGTATATTCTATAGGGTACTTCGAGGACATCCGCAAATGGCCCCCAGTATCAACCAGCTGCACTCCCCAACTTTTCTTATTGCATTTAACATACATAATGAGGTTTTAACTTGTGTTAACCAGCTAAAGAAACGCAGGTGGTTTTGTGTGCCTTCTACTTGTCAGGAAGACAGGCCTGTCCTCAATTTGCAAAGTGTTTTCTGTTTTGTAGAAAATGGGAGAATAGTTTACTCACGTTCATTTCCTCAGCTTGAGGAAGATTGTTAGAAACAGCTACTTCTTCCTGCGGAAGAGGAACATCTTCTTCAACTTCAGCTGCTTCGAGGTCTTGTTCTTTAGGTAAATCCACACACTTGCCCTCAAGGTGATTTTCGGAATGAGTACTGACCACGTCCTCACGGTCAAGGATACTTATCGCAGCTGGAAGAGATTTATACAATTTTAACTTAATTGCTACATAATGGCACAGGTTTCAGCAACAGGAATTAACAGAGGCAGCAGGAGCCAACACCACAGTTCTCCACCCTGCCACATATATATTGGGCTTTCTCCACAAACCAGAAGCCAGAACTATCTACCTGGTAAAGGAGGCAGCCCCACAATTACACAAAACCAAACAAACAAAACAAAAAAGAGGAAGGGTAAAATCAGCCGGCAAGTCCATAGAGAAAAAGAACAACAGAGGAAAGGGTGGCTGGAAAGGCACACTGATAGCTAGTTCTTCTTCACAGCCCAAATACCGAGGATGCATCATCTTGTCATATAGTAACTCAAGCAGCAGATCCCATAGCAGACAAATTAGGAGTGGTGCACAACAGTAAAACGCATACTGACCTCTCCTTCGAATAGTTTAAATTCTACCAGTTTTCTTAATACCTTTCTCAAGAACAGGAACAGTCACGATGCATTTTCTACAAGGACTTTCTTTGAGGAGGGCATTCTCTCTGCAGTTTAATGAAAGTTAGCAGTAGCATGCTCGCACTACTTCAGTCTGAGACACTGGTAGCGGTATGGCAAACTACACATTTTACTTCAGGAGTTCAGCTGCCTCAACTCCCACAACATCTCCAACACACTGTACATACATTCAGCGTCTGCCCCCGGGGATTCAGAGAGCTGTGGATTTGGTGCAACTGGTATGGCTGTTTCTTCTGATGCAGAGGACATTCTGGACTCCTGGTGGGTTGTTTCGCTTCATGAACAGAAAGAGAGAAATTCATCATACGGCTTCAAAACAAACCTTGAAGAGCTTTACAGGTTACTTTCTCACTGTACAACCTTCAAGTTTCAAAACAGAAACATTCAGAAAAATTAGAAATCCCTTTACCAACATAGCTACATTCAATTCCTGACTCCTTTTATGCAATGAATCAAGCACTGAACATTCTTCCCAGCTATCTATCTAACACTAGATAACAACATCACAACAGAGTGGTACTGAAGAGTAAAGTATCAACTGTCTTCTGCAGGAAGAGCGCAACTGCTATATTGGAGGTTTACAACAAACTGAACAAATGTCTGTACCAGCGTATGTTACCGCTTGAAATGAAGGGTTATTTCATGACTAACTTTCTGTCTTTATCACTAAGCAGTTGCAGCTTTTAAAGTATCTGGCGAGAAAACTGCTTCCCCTTCCATAAACAAATAGATGCTAATTGAGCACACACAGAAAACAGAAATTAAGCGTATAAAATACTGCCAGAAAGTACTCAAACCCCAAAATAAACCCGCTAACGTTACAGGAATCTCAGGTGTCATTTTTAGCTAGGCAATTTTCAGACTAAAGCAGGCCTTATGTTCACAGTATCTGCTTAGTAACCCTCAAACTGTAAAAAGGTTTATAGAGCCCGTTGAACGAAGCCCTTCTCACCATACTTTGGGGTCTGCAATGATTTGAGAAAAAAAGACTCAAACTGACAGCTAGTCAATTTGACTTCTATTCATGCCAAGTTAGTTGTGTTCCCAGACAGAAAGGAACAGAGAAGCCGTCATATCTATAAGAACACAGGAAAGGACCAAGACCAGGTCAAAATCATAGTTCTCAAACACGGGAGAGCCAGCAGCTACATGTTGTGCGAACCCAAAGATGTATCTGTTTTATAAACTCACCCTTCACTTGCAGTCCCAAAAGCAGCAGCCTCAGGAGCTTTAACCACCAATTTACCATCCTCAGGAAGGGCAGGACTTTCAGCATTTGATTCTTCCACAAATCCTACAAAAATCGACAGGTGGATGACTTCCCTGTGGCACTTAACAGCATTTCTTTTCAAATGCTCATATGGTTTTTGAAGGGAGTGAGCCTTTATGCATTTCACCTAGGATAGCCATCTAACAAAATAATGCTACCGAGACTTCAAATGCACACTGGGTCCGAATTCTTCTTCCCAGTAAAACAAGGAGTCTGATGCATCATTTCAGTCAAGGAAACCAAATGACCATTGATATTCTGTTGACAAACTAAACTTGCTATGTTACTGCCCTAATACATTCAGAAACTTCAGAAAACATCCCTCCTTCTTAAAACTGGCTAGTAACGTTTCTTATTTCTCTTTGGATACTTCTCTCCTTCCAGCACTGCTGCTTTTCTTTCCTGACTCCGTTTCCCCTCTTCTACAAGAATGCGTCTCAGGTCTTGTCTTGTTCTCTTCTCTAGTGATTGACTGGTGGTGTGGAAACCCAGCTGCTTGCTAACCTGTTTTTATCTCAACCGGTTCCATTTTAGAAACAGCCTCCTTTTCTTCTTTGCTTCTACTGTCTGCTTCCTCCAGATCCAGCAATTACCTTTGCAGACAGTATGCAGGACTGGCATAATTTTGCAGGCCCAGGCCAAACAGGAGCTATACGGACTGCCCTCCAATGCTTCCAGACTACTGAAATTGTACAGAACTCTTCGTACCAGAGTCCAGCCGTGACAAAGTTTCTTCATAAGGTTATTCTTTAGTGATTAGCACCTTAGCATTCTTTTTAATGAAAAGCACCTTTGATTTCTTGTCCAAATACAAGACGTCTAAAATAGGACAGGCAAATGTTTTGACCTCTCTTACTAGAAGCACTCAGATCTGGAGAATCCCTTTTACCCATGTACATGGAGCCCATATCTGGGCACTCCTGTCATTTAAAAAGGAAAGGAGCTGAGGAACTTCCATAGCAACACTCACTCTCCAGGATGCTCCAGAATTGCCTCAGACTTAGGACTGAATCAGGCTGCAGGTGACGCACCGATGCTGGAGCACACCCTCACTGCTACGAACCCTTTCAAGACCTCAGGCACAGAACTCTGACACTTGCACACATGTCCCAGGAACAGCAAACATTGTTTAGAGAGACTCGAAGGGACTGAGCTCTCTTTGTCAAATACTGACTGCAGCTGTGCTTGCGCATCTTCTCCCTGTTCTGGCACTACTTTCCTTCCCAGCTCTTCATCACTGCACCCCAGCCAGCGAGCTACATCTCTTCAAATCTGCCGGTAGACCTGCTCATATGAACACATCCTCAGCAGCTGCACTGGCTTGAAGGAGTTCAATTGAGCTGAATTACCAAAGACCAGCTGAAATAGGTTTGGAAAAGGCTGCAGAAGCTGTTGAGACAGCAAAATGAACAAGCATAGCTGTAACAAGAAGCAGATACACAAGCAGACTCACTTCCAGAAGGACACTATTGAACTGAACACTAATGACGTGGTTAAAAAAAAAAAAAAAAAAAAAAAAAAAAAAAAAACTCTTGTCTGAAACCCACACCACACCTAAAACTTGGTAAAACAAAAAAAAAGGGTTAAAAAAAAAAAAAAAAAAAAAAAAAAAAAGAAATCTGTGTGCTCAAAGCACACCCTACACTAAACTTGCTGTAGAAAAACCTGCAGCCTACCGAAGTACCCCTAAAACACAACCAGAAGCCTAAGTCTTCAACTTGTATCCCTCTCAAAACTCCCACAAATCGCTGCTGCCTCTCACCTGCAATTACACACAAGAAATGTCAGCCAAAAGCAGTATACATTCCTAACGTCCAGGATACCTAAAGAAGCACTCAAAACACAGTGGCAGTTTTAGAAGCCCAGGACAAGGAAGTGCCTAGGACACCTGTGAATGCTCACCATTAACTATTGCACTCATCAGGAATTCAACCTTTCGAAGACATTTGAAAAATTCAGAAACGTAGGTTATCATAGGATGAAACCCACCAGCTTCTTTTCTTAGTTCTGATGAATCTGGTTGTTCCATCTGGAACGGTTTATCTTCAACCACTTCACTGTCTTCTTCCTTCCCCAGTTCTTGAAAACCGGCACTTTCTTCAGGGGAAGAATTAGCTGGTTTAGCAGCTATGAAGATGACATCATCTTCAAAATCGCCAGGTGATTTTGCATCATGATACTCCAAAGTAGTTTGGTCTGACCTGGCAGAGAAGCTACTAGTTTCTTTGCTGGCATCCATTTTCTCCAAACCAGCTCCAGGTATGCTTTCTGAAGACTCTTCCATTTCAGCACGATCATCCTCAGGATTGCTCAGAGTAGAGAGAGTTGTTTTCTCTCTACTTTCAGACCAAGCATCCTCCACCACTCCATGTCGATGCTCAGATGAAGCTCCAGACAGTGCTTTATCACCTCCTGTTACCTTTTTTTTTTTAGGAAAAAAGAAAGTTCACTATCAGTAACATGCATATGCTTTTTGTGAAAGCAAGGAAAAAAAAAAAAAGAACAAACATATATCGATATTTGCAAGTTTTACAAGTGCCACCTTAAGCAAGGTGCTACAACATTAATTCTCATTCTAGCACTATCTTAGCTTTTAAAGCTGAGTGTAAAAATTCATCACCCTTCTGACTGCTTATTGAGTTTCCACGACCCTGGAGAATTAAGATGCCGTGGGTCTTGTAGGTGCTTGCTTATATTGTCATCTCAAGGCTGTTCTTTGGGTTCACTACCGTGCTTTCCAGAAGAGGGAGCTTTGCATACCTAAAATCCTAATTCAAGATTTCTCTTTTTTTATGCTTGCCTTTTCAACTTGTATGCGCTACTAAAATAATTTAGTGCTCGCTATGCCGGTAGCATGGAATAAGTAAATTAATCTGGCCACGTCGCATTATTAGTAAGAACTTCATCTAGGAGAGAGCCTCTTGTTGCCATTGAGTAGCTCGTTATAACAGGCAATGAAAAGTACAATAAACACAGAGTACGACAACTTGTTAGTACATGTACGGAAAGCTCATACATGTAGATACTAGCACACGCCCCTGTTCTGCCCCTGATTTTGGTACGTTACTTGGGCAACGGCATGACGAGCTGAACCAGGGAATCCAACGGACAGAACAAAAGGAGGAGCAGAAGGGGGCAACTTTCAGGCGGCCCAACTTCATTTGGCAACTATACGAATGCTACCCCTGGTGCAAGGCAAGAAGCAAACGTGAGAACTTTAGGGCTAGAGAACAGACACGAGTCCAGCTCTCTTCATCAGGAGTCTATTATATTTACCATAATTTAGGTAAACCCAGCCTTGTGAAAAGAGAGACCGAAAGTAAATGCTGCTCAAGACTGCTGCTGCTTTCCAAGATGTTGAACTCACAAAGCTTAGCAAACCCACACAACTGGCTCCATCTATCTTCCTTAACCTTCCTGCCATACCACCATTGGAAAAGGTAGAGCGGGAAGCTGAAGTAGCCATTTGGAACAACCACAGCTCCTAACACCACCTGAGCAAAAACCGCCAACGTCACTGGCATTTATTGTGAATATGTTCCTGCAGGCACAGGATGGTACAGAAGGTCTAGCATAGCCTTTTCTGACCAAGTTCAAGTCTGCCATTCTGATTTGCAATTCCAGTTCTCAATACAAGGAGTTTTGGCAAACTTTAAAGAAAACTTAAATCAAACCACAGCCTATAAAGCCTTTACCTGTAAAACCCACTAGCTACAGCCCAGCTTACCCCAAGAGTCCATTCTGCATTCGAGATCTCTTCCCTGAAAGATATTCTAGGTTCCTTTGCTCGTAGAGGAGGAGTAACAGATCGTCCTGGAGATGCAGAGGGAGTTGCTAGGGGTGTGGTGCGAAGGCTGGATTTGAGAATAGACTTAGGAGTAAACCCAGGACAACCAGAAGCAGACGTGGCCGAAACTTTAGCTCTCTATGAAAAGAAAGAAACACATTTACTTTAACACCAGTTAAATCTTCAAAACAGAGGACTTCCCTTCTCAAAAGTCTTTGTTTAAATTACAAACTGAGTTTGTCCCAGCAGAGAGGACAGAGCTTAGCCTCCGCGCTGCTCTTTTTCCAAAGGGATGAAAATCTTAACGATAAAAACCCATGCTTTTTATGTTTCCTTTGGCCTTTTTTTTGGATGCCAACATCAAAGGCTATTTTTTAAATTCATTTCCTGAAGAAACAAGGATGTGGCATCTTGTTGTCTGCAAGGTTATCTCCCATCCCAGTAATCTTTGCAATTTCTACACTGCTCTTCTAAAAGGCATATAACTCCAAACGTTACCCTGGATACAGTGACGGAAAACACTGCCAGACGAAATGGCAACGAGCAAACCAACAGTGATAGCTTATTTTTTCGCTAATGGATCAATCTGCGCACTAGACTAAATTAAGGGACGCTGCTGTAACAGCACCCACCCATCTGCACCTAGAAGCGCTCAGGTCCTCTTACCTCAGCTCCAAAAAGATTTGACAGTCTTGAAAGGGTTTAAAAAGAGGAGAATGAAACTAGCCTAATGATATGGACAACATTCAATACGAAGAAAAACGTTGTCATCAGAAACTGAAGCACATACATTCTTGCTCATAGGTATGCAAGTCAAACTCCACAGAGCTATTGAGCACTTAAATAATGAGATGGTTAAGCTACGGATTGCATCTTCAGGTATCTAAGTATATCGAAAGGTCCAGTTTTAACTTACGTCGTTCCATGCAGTGAAAAGAAGTGTATTCCACAAAGCTATGGGACAACGTGCAGACTGCAATTAAGTTAGAGCTAAACTTTCCCTCTTCAAGACTGTTCCCAACGTACTGCTTCCAAAAGGACTGCACATACAGTAACCACATGCATATTGAAAATATCCCCCAATGTGAACCCAACAGTGTTTGTGCTAAATACTTTGGTGGTTTCATTTTAAACAAAGTTTACAGACTGATGGTTCGGTTGGTTGTTACTGCTTTTTTAAAATACAAACCTTAACCACCAGGGGAGTCTCTAGTAAATTCAGCTCTGATGCTCCTGAAAAACTCTTTTGTGAGATGGAACCACGCCTATTTGATTTCAATGGGCTGGATGCCATGAATGGAGCAGAAGCTCTGCATGGTGACTCCCAGGTACCACCCTGTGCTGCAGCACACGAAGGAACAGGACGAACCACCAAATCCAGCAATCTGTTGAGATACACAATTTAAAGTATGAACATAAATAAATACATGGGAAAAAAATGATGCTGTGTTCAAGAAATCTAAGATGATACATAACAAAAACATTCAAAGAACAAGAAATACGGGTGAACCCGCACTGCTGGGGTGATGTAGCAGGCCCACGAGCAAGTTACAGGCATTTTCTTTTTTCCAATTAATTCTTTACATTGCACACTTAATTCCCTAAACCACTGCCTCTAAGGCAAGAGTAGTCCAATTTTAAGTTGCACAAGTGATGCAGTTCTCATGTCAGAAGAAAATTTACCTGCGCTGCAATGCTGGGACCACTTCAAATTCTCCACTTAGTTGTGTCCCTAAGTTGACCTTTTCTTTGACAGAGACAAAGCCACATGCAAACAGACCACTTTGCAAACACAGAAGGTATACACACACACGCATACGCACACAACATACGTACACACATATATATGAGAAGCAACACCTTGTTGAAGTATTCATTCTGTAGGTCTACTATACCTGGAACGTTTTTGTGAACATTTTGTAACGGGTGTCCCAACAAATGGATCGCGCAACTCTGCTCCAGGGAGAGCGTGTGTTATGCCTGGTGGTTCTGTAGCTCTAGGACTAGAATTAAAAGGAAAATGTAACTGACTCTCATTCCCCTGGAGTCCAAACATACCAGAATTCAAGCTTATTTGACCATGCCACCTGTAGGAAAGTCACCTGACAATTCTAGCCTCTTTTCTGCTCTGCAGAATTCTGCCTGATTTTAAGTGAAAAGGGCAGAAACGAAGCAGAAACAGGGCAGGAAGTGGTGAAAGATGACTGGTTGATCACACAATCAAGTCTACCAAAATCCGTACACCAACAGCTCGATGGTAATCATAGTGTTCTAGTTTCAACCGTCTTAAATTCTGTAAACACATTTACCATCATGGAAATACAGGTATTTGCATAAATGACATTATCACAGCAGAAAAAAAATCCCTCTCCAAATATTACTTCAGATGCATTGAGTCTCGAATGTTACACGTTGTATGTGCAAAAAAGGGCAAACAAAGCTTTATTCGGGTGCACCTTCCTTCCAGAACACTAACACAATGCAAATGGCTTTTTCTCGCTCTCTCCAAACACGTAGCTCAAGACTAAACTTTGTTAAAAGGCTGCTTACCTATCGTATTGTGAGAAACTGGTTTTCTGCTCGTTTCCTACCCATACTTCTCCAATTTTGGACAACACATTACTGATGAAAGTTGCTCTTGTATGCACATTTCCTGCATTAGCTTGTTTTGTTACTGTTGATAATGGCTTTGGTCTTGCGACTGTAAAGCAAGAGGGGAAAACGTATCAGCCCTGTGTAATCAAAGTGATGGTTAGTTGTCCATTATATTCCCCCCCCTAAAAATTACCTTCTCTGAAGACCGATGAAGGCAAAGGGTAAGGCTTGGCTCTCTCTACAGCCAGCTTCCTTTGGACTCTAGGAAGGATCTTGCCATATTGGTCTAATATGGAGTTTCTGACAACTGCTCTCTCTCTCAAGCGAGGATCACGATCGTTCTGATGAAATGATGGACAAAATGATGTGAATATTAAAAGGAGTAAGAGAAAGCTGCCTACACGCACCTTCCCTTCCGGCTGGATCCAAGTTTCCAAACACAGGACCTAAAGCTTCCAAAACCACCTTATACGTTTGATTCACTGGAAAACTGTCATTCCGCAAAACAGCAAATGCATCACAGATCCATAACAGAAGTTCACATAAGAAGAAATTTTGAGACAGAGAAGTTAGATAAGAAGTTCTGTCGTAAAAGTGGTAAAATGAAAGTTGTAGAATTGTAGAGCTCACGCTACAACCTGAGGAAATAAAAAAAAAAACAAAACACAGCCACATCCACCGCGCAAATTTTACCCGTGGATTGGCATCCAGACTGCTCTCAGCTTGGAAGAGAAAGTTGCGTGCAAGATACAAGAGATGACATACAACATACTCTTCATTCCACAGAAAGGAGTGGCACAAGCAGCTTTCAATAATCTAAACCACAAGTAGCATACGCATCTGAGTAACTGAACGATAAGTTTGGCCGATAGAAGAGAGAGATGTTTATTCCTCAGATGCAGACAAACTATTTTAAGTGGCGTCAGCAATGGTCTGTAACATTTAATTTATAACTTCACAGAGTAGCTTTGGAGTAGTGAAATACTTTGTTCAACTTTTCGGTTCAGCCGTAACTTAAGGCGTAGAAACTTATTCCTGGTATTTCAAAGAATGGTATAGAAAAAAACAAGGCAGGATTTTTATTGGGTACTATCAAAACCGGTTCGTAACACCTAACAGAAACTTGCACGCTTGCCAGAACTTTCACGCTTACCATAAGATTAACCTTCATTGACTGATTCAACTGTAGTGCTGGGATATAGTTGGCACGCTGCAGATGGTGGACTAGAAGAAATTCCTGATTCTGAACACCAGCATTGGTCTGTAAAAACTTCTCCAAACACTCCTATGAGAAATAACACATTGCAAACATCTATTACGATTCTGCCTCTTCTCCTTTCCAAGAGACGATCAAGATTTTTGTTTTCTTGTCCACACTTACTTGTTCAGTCTCTGTGAAAGGTAGCTTCAGTAAGTCTTCCATTAGTCCCATCTCCTGACAGGTTTCATACATGTGCTTTAGCAGCTCTTCTATGTCTAACTTAGTGCTATGTTGCTGCAAGAGACCCCAAGCCTCCACCACGCACCTGCAATTAATTTTTTGAGACGTGAAGGAATATTAATAGTAGAGCCAAAAAGACGCCCCAAACTTATTGCATTCAAAAGCTTAAAGGAAATTTCGGGGATCGTGATTTGTATTATTTGTTCTCCACCTCTCACAGTATTTGCATGCCAAAGCGGTGGGATATATTTCTTTACCTATTGGACAACAACACAGTGAGGAAAAGCCGCACTTCACTACTGCTTGACATTGATGGCTTCATCATCTGTATGTATCTGAGGGCTCGCCTGTGCTCTCCTTGGCACATGAGGGACTGAATAATCCTCGTATGTTGCCATGACACAGTTTTGATCGTAGCTGGATGAAAGAGCAGGGCCAGTGAGCTCTGTAGAAGTCAGAGATCAGGTTTATTAAGGTGCAGACATACTCTCATGCAACAAAAATATTCAACCGTTTCTTAAGTAAGGGTGAATGTGGGTTAAACAAACTTAGATGACCAACTAAGGAAATACTTGGTACAGGACATGTACGGAAAAATTCTTAAGTATTTGCAGAAAAAGCTTCCGTTAGCCATACAGACCAGAGCGAGTCTTTTAAAAGGAGTAACTCACACTTTTCTAGGTTAACCAAACCTCTCTATACAAACTTCGCTTTTTATAAACACACTGCTAAATAATAAGTCATTCTCCCAGACAAACAGGTTATATGAACGTCGTGACAGGCACAGAACAACCTTCAGCATCAGAAAGAACATGAATTAGGTTGAACAGTCACTTTTGCAGTCTTCTGTCTCAAATCTTGCTGCTCTGTGATCACAGTTTTACTATTTGAAGTATCTAAAGCACCGTTTTTGAGAAAGTGCTCAACTGGTCTGCTGAAAACAGCCTAAAGGGATGGCTTTGAAAATTCACATATCAAGCATTACTAAAGTCGTTTTCTTCTTTGTTTGAATCCATTTCCTGTCAAAGTAATTAAACCAAAATTTCAATCATAACTTCTTGCTGAAGGTGTCGTAGCGGTACTACAAAAAAGCTGCTAAGGTTTTATCACCTGTTGTCAGCTAAGCACCAGTTTCTTAAAACCATTTTATAGATTATAGCTTTGTACTGCAATGCCTGTCTAACTAAACCGTAACATACTTACTTCGTAATCATTGTGATCCAGAAGCCAAAAGCCTTGAATAAGCTTAACAAGACCCCAGGGGATGGCAAAGGCAGTTGGGAAGGAGTCGATTGAAGTTTCGGCTTTCTTTGGAAGGGAATGCATGATATCGAGCAGCAAGTAAATTGTCTGGTATCAAGTATCTAGTTAAGGCTAACAAATTTGCAAGACCAAAAATCCATCACATGGCATTTAGACAACCATAAAGAAAGAAGAATGTAAAAGTGGCAGGAAGCAGGAAATTCCTCTTGCCATTTTAAGCTATTAAAACCTGAAGAGAGTCAGGTCCTAACAACAAAATTGCATTCTGAATAAATAAGCAGAAAGACAGACTCTTTGATTTCTGTAAGGCATTCCAAAAGGTTAAACTTTGGATATTTAAATACTTCAGTTATAAACTCAGGCTCCCTCTTCAGTCAGCAGAGCTACCAGTTGGACACTCAAAACATTTGAACATCCAATGCTTAATTATTGAAGCAAACAAATTCTACAGCTGTTTTTTCCCTCATTCCCAGAGCATATAAACCAATGCAGATTATGGTGCCCTTGCGACACCACTTAGCTCCAAATGATGAAAGCTGGATTTAAACCACTATGTGCGTCACTCACTGGTAGCGTCATTGTCTCTTTCTGACATCCGTTTTTAGGGACATACGCTGATAAGACAGCTCTGGGGTACAACAGTTTTTAAACCCCTTGCTCTCTAGGCTCCCCTCTCGGGTTAGGCAACGAACAACAAAAGCAATTCTGTATGTTTCGGCAGCTTGAAAGTTAAGTTTCTTCTGCCCAATGACTTTGCTCTTCTCTCGGTACATTATGCTGCATGCCTGCCCTTTTAGCAGAACAAAAGCAAGCCCTGTCATTAGCTGCGCTGGAAAACGGATGATTTCGGCAAAACTCAGGTACTGGCAAACCACTGTTAGAAATCCCTTTGCTCTGAAGCAGCACGTTTTGGTGCATCGTTCTAGCAAGCAGCCATTTGCTACAGACATGGGTGCTTTCAAAAATTAAACTCTGCGTTTAAATTTTGAGAAAAACTAAAGGCGCTGTTTATCGTCTCTAACATTTCTTGGTAAACCTGTTTTCCCGTATCAGAACAGACTTCGCAACAAAACATTCAAAAAATCCTAAAAAATCCACAGTACAAGGAAACGAAACAACGCTTCTGTCTACCACTTAATTCTAAACTAAATGCTTTCACTTGCATTGTGCTTGAAGCATACTTTAAAAAACGTTATTAAACACGTAGGTGACAAACATTTAAGAACATTGATGCGCATATACTGAAGGCGTAATAAAAACAACTAGAAAGGATACAATTGCATGTTTGTAGCTTTCCTCAATGCTTTCTAGCAAATAGAGATCCAGCAGTGCCTGAAAGGAAAAATTAAGAGTTTTTTAAAAACTCCTCTCTTTTATAAATCATTGGCTTTTTTTTTTTTTTTTTAGGGGGGGGTGGGGGGGGGGGGGGTGGTGTGTTTTTGAGGTGAACACACCCTAAAAAAAAAAGTGTTGTGTAAAAACTCCTCTTTTTTATAAATCTGTGGTTTTTTTTTTTTTTTTGGAGGGGGGGTGGGGGGTGAGGGGGTTGTTGTTGTTTTCAGTGAACATAACACTCACATGTAAACTAGCAGGTGGATACTTCCCAGTTCCTCCTTCATCTCTCCGCCACAGCTTCTCGACTTGGTCTCCCAACTGGGAAACCATTCCATCAATCATCAAGCAGTCAGAATCCCATTTTCCCCTGGAACAAAAGGCAGCAAGGGTTTGGACAGAGTGAAAGACTAATTCCAGCCTCTCGGTGTAACTCATTTCCTCCACTCAAAACAAAAACCAAACGCTCCCAGGAACCAAAGAAAGTAACAAACAGACAAAGGCATGACCATGACTTGAAACAGACGTGGAAGAAGCTTCTGAGGCAGACGAAAGATGTTCGTTAGATCATATGCAATTATTAAAGGAGTTCAAAATAGAAATCGTAAGAGCTCTCTTATTAAGGGAAAAGTTGCAATGACCTCTTTAGTTTTCAGGTTTTCTTTTTTGTTGTATTACTTGTAATACAAAGGAAGCATAGACAAAGTTTTTTAAGTGCCAGAAATAACCACTCTCATGCTGTCTTAACAGAGGAAACGCAACAGTATCAAAATACCAGGACTATTCTTTGACGCAAACCTAATGCTGCAAACTGGAGTGTTCCAACACACGGCTGTGAGACAACATCACGGAAATTTCAGATTTTGCTCTCAGCATCTCACTTTTGTTATTGAAAAAGAGTTATTTGCAGGAAGCTGAGCATACAGGTACATTTTAGGATCGTCTTACGCAGCATTTCTGTTTCTACACACATACCGTTACAATTACGGATGGCTGAACTTTTAAAAATGACATTCTTCCAAAGTCCATCCCAGTCTTGTGCTGACTGCGACGCTACCCTTTAATTTCCCGATGATGAAAAGCAGAAAAAGCACGCTAGAGGTTGTACGCTTCTAAGGCACACACGAGCCTGTACCTAAGTTACTTGAGCGGTAAGCTAAGTAAGGTGGGCTTTAAAGTCAACACCTAATACACTGCAGCTTCCACCTTAACTCGTCTTGCAGCAGCTTGTTCACAGTGCCACAGCCTAACCTTCTTTCAGTCTTCATTTAGTTTTCAGTACAATTCCCAGAGGACAATCTATTATCATCTAATCCAAGGCATATCACCTATATGCTAGTCCAGGAAAGAGAGTTTCCCTTAGGAAGCGACTTTTAGCCAATAGCCAGTAGAGTGCTAGGTGCGCCAACTACGTGTAACTCCGACTAGCTTATTAAATTACACAAATCTACTTGTGAGTAGGAGATTCACGCCTATACAATTATTACCGTCTGTTACTAGTCAACAAGGGAGATGATTGCTTTTTTAAAACATGCTTTCTTCTGTGTCCAAAACAGTTTCGCTGTGAACGCCGTGCTTTGCTGAACTGGAGATGACTGATCCTATCCTAATCACATGGTCTTTTTAGCCGTAACAAATTACGGAGATTAGCCGATGAATTAAGCATGTTACAAAAAACGACGATACCGACAAATGGTACTAAGCAGAGGTATATATAAACATTTTAACGCGGGCAAGTACCCTCTGTGTTCAACGGAACACTTGCGTCGCTGAAGTCAAGAGTGTTGCCGGCAAATGCATTAAGCACAGCAAACTCAACTGGCGATATAAAACCCATTCCCTTCCACTTCTGAATTTGCCGGGGAAGTGTTCTAGAGCTTTCCCGCAAGTCTTACCTTGATAAACGCTCAAGTTTCTGTCGGTGCCCAGTGTAGTAGCTCTGAATCAGAGGATAATTGTAGAAAGGTCTGGGCAAATGCACATCATCATCTGCAGGCAAGGAAGTAAAAGCAAGATAAAGAAGTGGTATTGCATTTTTAAACTAAAATTCTCGACTAAACGCTTGACAGCAGATCGTACAAGCTAAGCACCAAGAAGCACAGGCAAGCCTCCAACTTTGACAGAAGCCAACCCTCTTTCTGCCTTTGCTGAAAGAGACGTAAGACACAAGACTCAATTCCTTCTTGTCTCGAGTGCCCGTTCAAGGTTACAGTTGATGTAGCATTCGGAACATGTAGTGTAAGCTGAAGCTCGCTATAAAAAAGAACAACTCTCGAAGGCAATGGTTTTCTAAACTTGTCATGTGAGCATCTGTAAGGCAATTAAGGCTGACAATAGAATTTATAACCCATCCAGATAAAGAAGTATTTCCAAGGTGTATTTTTTCCTGAAGCAATAAATCAACAGTTCAAAACATGCGGGTAACGCTTTTACTGCAAAAAACAAGCGCTCCAGCATTTGTTGTTGAATAGGAATTTGTTTAAGATCCCACGTATTTCAAGCTGTGGACACAAGCAACTCCTTGAAGTCAGAGGCTTGTTGCTATTTCTAAAAAACATCCAGGAAAGAACCCGCTTGCATTACTCTACACTATCTGCTTGATAAAAAACAGTTACATCTCAATTTCTCTCCCTGTTACAAATGTATTACAGTTTATGCTTACCTAAACCCTCTGGAAGGAGACCGGATCGACAGAACCAGATGACCACTTGTGCATACAAAGAAATGAGTTGAAAAAACAGTTACATCTCAATTTCACCGGCACAACTTCAGCAGACGCTGTCACTGAACCAACACCACTTGTTATCGACGAAACATTTACAAAAGCATGGCTAAGCATGTGCTCACAGCAATCACCTAACTGCACAGGCTCCCTGTTACAAATGTATTACAGTTTATGCTTACCTAAACCCTCTGGAAGGAGACCGGATCGACAGAACCAGATGACCACTTGTGCATACAAAGAAATGAGGCGAGTTACCACCTGCTTATTTGTCAAGTCTGCAAAACCTGAAAGAAAGCACAAGATGATTTTTGTTACGCAATTCCTTTCATTTGCACAAAACTCCCTTCGTCATCCTGATTAGAAAGTATAGAAATAACACGGTAGAAACCTTTGTCGTTGCATTTTTCACTCTGCATCACTTCCTTGTCTCAAGGAAAACCCCACGATCACCGCCAAAACCAAACGCAACCCCTACAAAGAACCAGCTTCACTAAAAGTGAAAATAAAAAAAATGAAGCCTGAACTATTAAATACACTCACGAATAAGGCACCTGTTTTTCATGTAGCCGAGATTTTTCTTACAGCAAAGGGAAACCCTTTTTTTTCCCCCTCCATATGCCCAGAACAAGTTGTAATACAGAAGGCTATAGAAACTCAAGGAACTTACTTTACAAGTTACTCACTTATGCTTCCTTTATATTTTTAGTAATTTGCACTACAATATGTGCATGCAATTACACATTGCTAGCTAAGAATTGGAAAGAAACATCTTCAGCATGACCACATTCAGCTGCTGTAATTTCAAGCCAGTTGCTTACACAGCTTCTTGCTGAATGTAGCCTCCCCTACCCACTTGCATGAACTCCACAACAAACTATTGCCCTGAACTCAAGGCATATTAAGTGGTAGCCCCAACTTCTCACATTTAAGCCCCTTCTCCCAGCTAAATTTGACTGTCTTCCAATCATCAAAAACAACAAAACCTCGTGTCTCCACAATTACAACCCAAGCATAATTCCAAATCTTAATAAAACATACCAAAGATTTCATGATGCTTCTACAAACCTTTGTCAGTAAGCTCTTGTGCTTCTGTTAGAAAACAGTTTAAGACTGTGCTAAGGTTGCTCAAAAGCAACTGGCAGTGCTGAAGAGACCGTAACGTCTGTGGGTCAATGAAGTTGCAAGAGCCATCAAACAGCGGAACACCTTTTCAAGAATAAGTATTAAATCATTAGCCTACAGAGCACTTTCAGAGTTTCAAAGTACACTTAAAGAACCGCGTGCAATATCATGTACCAGCAGATTACTGAATAAGCTCAATTAGAAAGAATGGTTTTATGTTTGCAGAATGACTACACTCGTACTCACATATTCGGTCAAATTCATCTTTCGTACAGATCACTTTGTTCCATGTCCACTCAAGAACAAAGCGTAAATTAGCAGCAGAACTTGGCTGCTCTTTAAAAAAAAAAGAGAACAAAAAAGAAATGAATCAACAATTTCAAACTAAAAAAATATGTAACATAAAACCAACGTAAGAAGTATTACCTTCCGATGTCCAATGTTTAATGCATCCAGTCAGAAGTTCTAAAGAACCTGTCTGGACAGCAGCTGACAATACCGCTTCTAACTGTTCCTCCTAAACATAACAGACAAAATAAAATAGACTCTTACGTGCTTCCAATATCGGAACCATCAACAGTAGAAGTTTGTTTCTAACTGTCTACTCATTCAGACATCACCAAGGCCATTAGTACTAATTCAACTAATTCCACATTCTTTTTCTTAATTCTCGCCACAGGCTGGACTGCTTGCTGGTCTGAGGAACACATTAAACTTCTCCTCTGACGTTTCAACTTACTGAAGGCTAATTCTCATCTTCATTTGCATGCCTCTGCATCGTAGTCTCAGTTTGCTGAGTTCCAATTAACGATTTTCAGTAACATCCTCTGCTAATACCTGTTACACATTTTGTGCATATAAAATTTGCCATCAGGAATGCACGAAGGGGACAGAACAGAACTATGCAATGTTTGCATGGACACAGTGAAGCTACGGTCAAGCAGCTTTCTAGACTATGAAGACATGAAGCAGTTCTGACACCCAAAACATTAAGTCATCGTTTTCTAAAATGACAGAGAAGAAGGGAAACATTAAAATTCTAACAGGCTTACATTCTAGGCTGTTCCAATACTGTATTATAATGTAGCGGTAATGCTTTAGAAGGATAATGCACAGGGATGCACAGACCTGCGATATCAAGTAGTAGCTTATTTCAGCTGGTGTTCTGATGCTTCTTCCAGGTGAAACGATCCTTCATGAAATTTTACTTGTTTTTTCTTTGTTTGCTCGTTTTTTTTTTTTTTAAACACAGCCAAAAGTATCTTTCCCTTCTAGGTAAAATCATTCCACTCAAAGCGAGTTCTACACAGGAGAACACACATGGGCTCTTCCCACCTTTTTCTGAAAACCAGTTTCAGACAAGGGGGCACACCAAATACTCCTTACGGTGGCAAACAAAGCTCCAAACCAAGCTTCTTGACCCTCGTTCTGAAATTTGTCCTGCCAACCTTCAAACGAAATCCCCGCTCAACTGCCTAACAAGCCGCTGAACGATATACTTGCAATTCAGCAAACGCTATTAAGAAACTTCTTGATTTCCCCAGTTATCTCCAAACTGGAGTTGACATCAGAACATCTCATTTGAATGGAAGAGTCTACATCAGGCTTGCAAAATACACAGTCTATGGGCTAGGTCAACGTGCCAAGAAATTTATTTTAGCTACCACACGGTGCAGAAGTGTTATTTGCCCTACCACGCTCCTCCACAAATCCGGTGAAGAACCCCGAACCCCGTAGACAGGAAGATGAGGGCAGTGGGAAGACTGCTCTCCCCCTTCCTACTAATTGCTCCGCTGTCTGATGACTAGCTAGCTGATCCTTTAGCTTAGATCCTGCCTGGGTGAAGGTGGGCTGTTCATCACAAAGGCTCCGTCTCTCCTGAAACTCTTCAGACGAGAGAGAAAGGCTGCTGCACTGCAAATGGAAAACCTATGGAAGAGGGGGGTGAAGTCACTCTGGTGGGAGAAAGCAGAGAGAAGGTAGTGGGTGTCATGAGATAAAGGTGATTAAGGTGTTGCAGCAACAGGAGGGCCATCTAAGCGGAGGAAATGGGGCTACCGCAGCAGAAGGCAAAGGCTGCAGAGGCGAAGATCTGCTTTGGGAGGCTGCAGAAAAGCCTACTGATGAAGGGAAAATGAGGGGAAGCGGTGATGAAATTGTCAGGGAGAGCTGACAACGGCAATTGTTTACCACAGCCCGCTTCCTGGGAAGCAAATGATCACGTGTCGTGCAGCAAGCTGATGTGTGCAATAGCTCCCATCCGAGCCAGACACCCCTGTCGTCAGCTACTGCACCGAACCTAACGCTTTGAGAAACTGACGGGGACGAAGGCTGTGCCGAGGGAAAGATGCTTGCTGTTGCGCATGACCGGCACTGGCTGCACGCTTCCTTGTGCGTGTCTGTGGCACAGAATTAGTAGATGGGTCTCTAAAGACAGAGCTCTTGGGGCTGTTCCCGGTCAAACTCAGTAGTCTGGATCTAAGACTACTCTTACTTCTGCTAACTAAAGTCAACACCTGCATTTCAGTGCAACTTGCAAATAAGGTGAAAAGCAGATTAGCGTGTCTCATAGCCTCTACGGCCCTGTCAGACAAGAGGGATGTATTTCCCTCTCGATTCCCTGACATGTGCTCACCTGACTCAAACTGGATGGCTGGACATCAACTAGTCTTGGAGACAGCAAGCCAGCTACAAGGCACCTGTTGTAGCTATCAGGAATGGCTTCACTTATTGAAGGACCCAATTTCTTTAAAAACTTCAAGGTCTGAAACGTCAATCAAAAACGACAGATTAAGACAGCGTTATTATTCAACTACTAAGGTTCTGGGTAACCACTAAGAGAAAGAATACGAATGTTCACTTAAACTGTCAGAAAGCTTGCATCAGTAATGTCCTTTAGGTTAGCGATCTGAGTAAGCATTACTAGGTAGAGTCTTAAAGACGGCAGCTCAACTAACAGTTAGAGTTTATTAAAAAAAAAATGGTAAAGCAAAATATCAGCCCTTGTATATTCTGGCTTCTCTGTCAATACGCAGGCCTTTCTTTTCCTCTGAGCACTGACACAAGATACATTCTACAAAAGCTAAAACTAACACACAACTTTAAATCACACTTTGGGGAGACCCTTTCTATGCTTGCTTGTGCAGCAGCTGATTTCTGTTGGAAATACTTAGTGAGCTGAAACTTCATTCAAAATTATTTGTTACAATCCGCGCAGTGGCTCGGAACTTGTAATTTGGCCAGGCTTGGGAGGACACAAAATTCATTTCTTCTTACACAGTTAAATCATTTTTCCTTTTCTCCATTCTGTCCTCCTTTGTCAAGTTAATCAGGGATCAAAACCCTAACTCCAGACTAGGCAGGCAGTTTGACTGATGGGTAATAAAGAAGTAACAGCTTTCCCTGACTTCCACGACAGTTTTGCTCTTGCTCCTAGAGCAACGTTGTATTCCTTTCTAGACGTTCAAGCCCTGATTGTGCTTCCACAGGAGGCATTGGAGGTTTTACAGTCCCAAGAGCGGAGCTAAAACATTGCCATTTACATAAAACTGGCAGGATATTATTGCAATCATGCGTGCAGATGGGCAGGATGAGCGTAAAATGGCCTTGGACACTGAAAGCAGTGCAAGAGGAAACTCAGACAAGGCACATCTCTTGACCTTCTCAATAAAGACACGGTAAAAGATCACCTCCTTCTGGAAGCCGGTGCCAGTCATATGAATAACTCCGGAGTTCAGCAAGCACGTACCATCTGCAGAAACAATGAACGTTTGACAACATTCCATACTCTCACAGTTATGTTAGCACCACTTTACATTTTTTAAATAGCAATGTCTGGAAAGACATAACTGAGTACCCGTTTTCTTCATCAGACCACTTACCAACTTTTTTTAAAAAATAATTACCACATGTCGCAATTTTATCTCTAGCGCTATCAAGGTGCTGTGCTTTGAGCTTCAGTTCAAAGTCGTTTCATTTGGTAGCCATCACCACTTCACAGGCTACGTTACAAAAGCCCCAAAACCCAACACTCAGCAGACTGTCAGATATGTTTCACGGTATTGAATACTTTGTTGGTACAACGTAATCCGAGTTGGGTTTGTGGCGGTTTGGGGTTTTTCGGTTTGGGTTGGGTTTGGAGTGAGAAACAATGAGCAAGAGAACCAGTAAGTAGCATTTGACCTCCATTTAAGCTCATCGCTATTAGAAGCGGTGAAATACCTACCAAAATTATAGGTGCTTGGATTAAAAAACTGCTCAGGTGGTGGATAGGAAGGAGGAACTCCCCGATTGAGACTCCGCTCATGCACCAGAATATCCAAAATGAGGTTTGGAGAAGTCATGCTTATTACAGTATCCAGTGACCACAATGCAAAATAGGGGCAATCATGAAGGAATTCTTCTGGCCTGAAAGAAAACAAGAGCATAAGCTAAACGCCGACTTTCAAATGAATCATTTGTAGGGATGTTGAAAACAACTGAAGAGAAGTCTACCTTAGCGAATCTGGCATTTGAGCATGATACCAGCGATTAATGTCAAACACACCCAAATAAGCAGATGGTTTTCCCTGACCATATGTATTCACTTGCCAACTGAAGATTGATACACTGGTGTCAGGAGATATTACTGTAAAAGACAAGACATTGTTTCTTATTTGTAGAAAATACAACAAAGCTGATACCTTTGAAACACCGCTTTCTCTTTGGGCTTAATTCCGTTATATCACTCATGAAACACAACGCTTGCTAAGAATAATTTAGAAAAAGTACGGAGTAGCAAACATCTCTCTGATAGATTTCAGTCACACTACCCCTTTTTCTTGTTCAAATTCTATCAGTTCTAAGCCAAATCAAATACACAGTCGTTAGCTAATTAAGTTTTCCACACGGTAAGAGTCGAACAAGACATTCAGCTAGAAGAGTAGTTTAGCAAAAAAAATATGCTAGGAACACATACGTTGCTACTTTCAGAAAGCATACAAATAATTATGGTGTACACTTGTATTCCTCAGCTGGCATTCTTCATTTCCAGATTGGACTCCATTGCAAGTTTTAAGAATAGCTCCTTTCCAGCATATTCACAATGCAAGAACACAATTATCACACAAACGAAACAGAAAACCCACAAACCCAACAAACAGGAAATTGGAGTAAAGATTTTAACAGGAAACATTCACAATGTTATACTCCAGTTCTCTCGGGAAGTGGAATGGTCTGTCTTCTCTGGGGAGGATGCATTCTCTAGATGTAAGCAAAGTCCGTGGTATATCGTTTACCCTAGTAGAGTAAGGAACAAGACGACAGTTTGTTTGGCAAAATGTTTCTGTTCTCTCTCGAATTCATCGTTACTGGTTAGGGAACCTCACACACTTTATTGTGTTTTGTTAGCCGCTGGAACTGCCTTTGAAGATATCCATTATTTTTTATCAGATTTGGACATCCTGCTCCCTCAGCCGCTCCTCATAAGACTTGT